TCTATTGGTAGTTGTGTTTCGTGCCTGCACCAGTCTTTTTGTCCAGGTCGGGTCCTGGGACTACCAGAAGCTGTGTGGTTTATAAAACATTTTTTACTCCAAATATCTTACCCTAAGCCTAACCCTTTATTTTAAATTGTATAATGCGGAGTTTTTTTGCCGTCCGCGAGAAAAGAAATGGCTCAGAGCCTCAGAATACTGAATCTAATTTTTTTCCTTCTGATTTGTTATTATTTGGTTCAGGCACGAAACCACACTACCAATAGAAATACATTGCTTCTAAAATCGTTCTGTGTCAGAATGACTGAATCTTATTTTCTGTCACTGTTTTTTCCTTCAACTTGTTATTATTTACATTGCTTTTTAAAATCGTTCTGTGTGACACGAAAAAATGCGAAAATCGTGTTGGTGAACACGAATTAAATAGATTAATTTCGGGAATATAACACGAAATGCAGTGAGACTGGGTTGAAAGTATAGACAAGGGACAAGAAACCCTAGCTGAAGAGGGGAGGCAGGAAGCATAGCTCTACCCTGAGAATATTTAACAAATTGTACGGTGTCCTTTGGTGTCATGAAAAGCGCCTTAAACAAAATGTATTATTATTATCCTGTAATTACATTGTATTTGATTCAATCTAAAAATCTTATGACAAAATAACTAGAAGATGTATGACGTACGTTTACATAACGGATATATGTTCATGCTTAAAGATAACCATGTGAAGGTAAACCAAACAATGAGATAAGATATTAAACATCTATGATAATTAGGGATGCACCGAATATTCGGCCACCGAAAATTATCGGCCGAAAATGGTTAAAAGGCTTTTTAAGCACCGAAAAAATATCACCGAATGTCAGAGAACAGGGTTACGTTGATCATACTCTGCATATTTGTCCGGGTGTTTTGATTTCAAGTGGTGGAGTAATCCCTCGAGAAATGTCAGCTGAACAGGTTTTACAAATCGCAATCCGCGCGTCTTTCTCTAATATTTTGAAATACCTCCAAGCGGCAGACATGTTGGCTGTGAGCCAGCCGCGAGCATGGTCCCGCGCCGTGCTTGTCGCCGCGTTTTGATTACGCCATCACAACAACACGTTAGCTTACCAACTTAACCCTGTTCTCTGACATTCGGTGATATTTTTTCGGTGCAAGGGCCTTTTTAACCATTTTCGGCCGATAATTTTTGGCGGCCGAATATTCGGTGCATCCCTACTTATTATTATTTAATATTTTAACACACAAACGCAACTTAAAATGCTATATTTCCTTCTTGTTGTCCTACTATAATAACTTCAATCCTAATGTTTTAACACCAAGTGGTCACAGTATAGTGATTACTATATTGTGAAAATATGACACTACCTAGACCTAGTTGCAACTGTGCTGTTGTGTGCAAAAAGCATGCATAGTAAAAACAATTCTGCTAAAAGTAGATATTTCATTGTGTTGTTTTGATATAATTGTACCATGCATACATATTAAAGAGCTATGTTCTTTCTTCAAAGGTGTTTAATGCGAAAACAGCAGAGCTCCTTAGCCATCATCAGGTGGAAATCAAACAGAGCTTCCCCAAAGAAGGGTTTGTGAAACGATACAAAACAATTCCTAAAATATGCATACACATTTAGGAAATGTAATCTTATTCATTGAGATACACTGCCATCTGTTTCAGATGGGTGGAGGAAGACCCCAAAGAAATTCTGCAGTCGGTTTACGAGTGCATGGAGCGGACGTGTGAAAAACTCACCCAGCTAAACATAGACATCTCAAACATTAAAGGTACACAAGCTCACATGTTACCGATGAGGCCCTTTTCATTTATATCATAGTAAGGCGTTCATTATCTAAAAATGTGGAAATTATTTGAATCTGTGCAGCTATTGGAGTGACCAACCAAAGAGAGACCACGCTTGTTTGGGACAAAGAGACAGGGGAGCCCCTCTACAATGCAATAGGTACAGTTGAATGTTATTTGATTTATTATTTCCATTTATATAAGCACTAATCTGTGCCTTTTTAAAGAGTACGCAGACACAATCGTATAGTTTTTTAACAGATATTTTGCTGCTATGAAATAATGTTGTTTTTCGTTCAGTTTGGTTGGACCTGCGGACTCAATCTACAGTCGAACGTCTAATCAACAAAACTCCAGGGAGGAATAAGAACCACTTAAAGGTAAGCACTTAATATTTTAGTTTTCCATTGACGGGGCACCAGGAACAGTTGGTTTTAGAGAGCACAGAAGGACAATGAGCCTTTTTCACTAATATCTCTTTTCTAAAGCCCCTCTCCCAGTGGACAATAACCCGCTAACATCTGGCTTTTGTCATCAGTAAAATGTTACCATCTACATTTTTCCACGGGACAAATGACTCTGCAGTGGTCACGGTATTTACCGGCACCAGCCCTGCATTGATGGAAACGGGACACGCTCATTTTCACCCCCTTTTTCCCGTTGAGAATGAAATAAAAAAGGCCTGAAGGAAAATCTTAAGAGGACGAAGCTTGAGGATTTTTTCATTCCTACACATTTGATATTAATTGAAGCACCATTGTTGCAATTTAAAGACACATACAGTCTGCTCCCACTCTTGGTAGCTGCATTAAAACAGTTCTGTATGTCTCTGTCCCCCTGCAGCATAAAACAGGGCTCCCAATCAGCACCTACTTCAGCGCGGTGAAACTTCGCTGGCTGATGGACAACGTGGACGAGGTCCATGATGCCGTGGTGTCACATCGCGCTATGTTCGGCACCGTGGACTCCTGGCTCATCTGGGTCGGTAACGGTGTGGATGTCATTCAAATGTACATATGGGATGATGGTGGAAAACTGACCATTGGAGTGTGTTTCCGATGGATTTCCAACAGTGTTTGACTGGTGGGAAGTCTGGCGGCGTCCACTGCACAGATGTGACCAACGCCAGCAGAACCATGCTGTTTAACATCCACACTCTGGACTGGGACCCAGAACTCTGCACGTATGGCACCTACTTTCCATGGCCTTAACATCCCACTGTACTGCCTTTTCAATTTTAAGAATATCACTGAAAATGGTAAGAGAAGCAGAATTGTCTTCGTCATTCATTGGCCTTTCCTCTGATTTCCGTCAGATATTTTGGTATTCCCATGGAGATCTTGCCGAAAGTGAGGAGTTCTTCAGAAATCTATGGCCTCATGGTAAGGACACATAAATACAAATTCAAGTCTACTTACATTTACCCTATAATGGGTGTTTTAATGAACCATGTCTCATGTAACAGGCCACAGATTTAAGCTCATGTCATGCATAAAGGTTGTCTGAAAAAGTATTTGTAGGCATTTTTTGTGAGCCATTGTCTCTCTTCTCTCACTGGTAGAAATTATGTTCTAGCCGGGTAAGTAATACTCACCATTTTAACCCGTCCCGCTTCTCCGTGGCCAAAGCGCACACACACACACACACACACGCACACCATCACACAGTGCATTTCCAAGATTAATACAAAGGCTAATGATTTATTAGCTACAAAGTTAACTTAGTTTGCCTTATTGCCGATTGTAAATGTTTAAACGGGTCAGATTTGAGTCACATTGGGGTCACTAACTATTAACTAACCAGGTACATTTGCTGCTGCTTATTTTGCCAATGATCTATGAGGCTTTATTGTTTGTAATGCTTATTGTTTTGGTATTCCTGCCTGCATTTCTGCTGCTTTTGTCTCTGTTATATCTCCAGATGCAGCAGTCAAGGCTCTCAATATGAAATGTACATTAGGGAATATAATGGATCCTATGGGAGCTAAACAGACAAATATCCTTAAGGAATGAAAGTGAATATTTGAGAAACTCCCTCTGAAGGGAACACAGGGATTTTAGTCTTTGCAGACCGTTTACATGCACACAAACCTATATAACACACTACAGCACACTAGGGCCTCTTTAACCAAATGGACAGCAGAGACTCGAGTGTACAAAAAACAAGATTGACCAAGTTTTATCTTCAATTTGAACCCAGTTTAACCACACACACACACACACACACACACACACACACACACACACATATTATGGTATGCGTGTTCGCTGCATTGGAAATGTACTAGATGCCCCCCCCCCCCTATCATTGCTTATTGTGGCATGCCATTGGCCGCCCATCTTCCTCTGCAAAGTCCTCAAATCTCTTCACTCTTTGGCACACGCTGACTCCACCAACCTTATCTTTCTGTCTTCATGAGAACATGAGTAGGAGTGAAGACATTTCAATGTAAATTACTATTCACGCTCACTGTTACAGTATACTTTCTGTAAAAAACAAAGCAGTAGTGTGTGTTTGTTATTTGGCTTCCTGTAGTCAAATAATGAGTCCCTCTGTTTTCAGTTTTGTAGCATGTAGCTCATAGTGATTTGTTTCTGTTGAATTAGTTCGATTCATTTCATAATAAACAGTAAATATATGTCAACACATTTTGGAATGCTCTTTTAATGTGTCGTACACAGTTCCCTTATTAAACATGTTTTGTTTTTTTGCAGAAATCTGGAGCCCTCTCAGGGATCCCCATCTCTGGGGTAGGTTCATCTCTGTTTTCCTTTCCAATAGTGTCTATGTAGTTTTAATGCTTGAAAGGTATTTGAGCTATGTTCGAAGCTTCCACCTGATGGGTTTATGTGTGATTTGAAAAACAGTGTTTAGGGGATCAGTCAGCAGCGCTTGTTGGACAGATGTGTTTCCAGGACGGGCAGGCGAAAAACACGTGAGTCATTTCTGCATTAACATGTCTAAAAACAACTAGACTCATGTTATAGATATTCTCTTAAATGTTTTGTTAGCGTTATAAATCCTGCTGAAAGTTTGCTTCCTGATGTGTTTCAGGTATGGAACTGGCTGCTTTCTCCTGCGAAACACTGGAGCTAAGGTACAATACGTCAGATTTACATTTGAACAGTTCACGTCCCTTCAAATATCGCAGACACACACTGGCATTTCTCTCTTTGTGTTTGTTTTTGTAGCCTGTAATGTCCGAACACGGCCTTCTGACCACTGTGGCCTACAAACTTGGCCGCGACCAACCTGCGTGTTACGCACTGGAGGTACAGAATCTGAAATACACACATTTTCACGACATTACTAAATCATACTTTTCACTTTCTATACTAAGTGTTATTCTGGTGCTTTTTCCAAGGGCTCTGTAGCCATTGCAGGCGCTGTGGTTCGTTGGCTGCAGGACAATCTGGGAATCATCAAATCCTCTGAAGAGCTCGGTATGTGCTGACATTTGATAAGCAATAATGACATCTTATTGTTTTAAAGGGGTATCTTGATCTTTGATTGCTCTAATCTTTATATTTAAGGATCAAAGTTGGTGATATCTTACCTGCCTATGTATTGCAATGTATTCCTGTTTGTGTTTCCCCCGCTGCAGAGCAGTTTGCAGCGTCAGTCGGCACTTCCTACGGCTGTTACTTTGTTCCTGCCTTTTCGGGCCTCTACGCACCGTACTGGGAGCCCAGTGCAAGAGGGTAAGAAGAAGAAGACACAAATTCAGATCAGTGTCTAACAGCCTTCACCGTCCTTACTCTCTGTTCACTCGATCCTCTCTGACAGGATCATCTGCGGGTTGACTCAGTTCACTAATAAGTATCACGTGGCGTTCGCTGCACTGGAAGCTGTGTGTTTCCAGACACGGGAGGTAAGCACATGAATGCATATTGTGTTTCCACACTTTTTCAATTTTCACACTGATGTTGGCGGGAAAGGTGCTCAATTTCCCAAAACTATTTCAACAAACTCATCTAATACATACTCGTATGTGTGTAATCAGTTTGCTAGATTTGTATATATGTTTTAATTTAGATGTAGGTATTTGTGTGATAACTGTTTTTCTGTTTTCTTTGAAGATCCTGGACGCTATGAACCAGGACAGCGGTATTCCCCTCACCCAGCTCCAGGTGGACGGAGGGATGACATCCAACAAGCTTCTGATGCAGCTGCAGGCCGACATCCTCTGCATCCCTGTCGGTAAGAGCCTTTTATCATATTTGTCAAAAGGGTGATGCTAAACGGGAAACTGTTGCGTGGGTGCGGAAAACTCAGAAACTGGCAGTAGGTTGGTGGACATACGACAAAAGGTTTTGGTGCACTTAGTACATTTTTATCAACATAAAAGTCCTTTTCTAGCCTGCATCAAACTGTGATGGGGCTACACTGAGCATTAATACCATCTGCTGGCATAAAGTGGAATAGATGACACACTGAATAACAAACACTAGAAAATGAATAGAAATTGCAGCTTTTGGAAATGTACGTGTTTTGGTCAACATGCAATATATTGGTTGTGTTTGTCCCATGAATATGTCCATAAAGATGCATCAACTTGTTTCTCTTCCCCGTAAACATGGTGTTGATTGTGCTTTGCAGTGAAGCCCTCCATGCCTGAGACCACCGCTCTGGGCGCAGCGATGGCAGCGGGGTCAGCCGAGGGGGTGAGCGTGTGGAGTCTGAAGCCAGAGGACCTGAGTGAAGTCACCTCGGAGAAGTTCGAGCCTCAGATCAACCCTGAAGGTACTGACTTCTGTCACACGGAGAGAAGCACACGTCTCCAGGAGCTGAAATGTAAAAGCTTGTCTTTTATATCTGCAGAGAGCGAGTTCCGCTACGCTCGATGGAAGAAGGCGGTTCAGAAATCCATGAACTGGGAGACCACGGAGCCGGTCGGCAACGGAAACGGTGGGCTGGGCGATATATAAATATTGTATCCATATCATATGAGACTAGAAATTGGCTCAGATTTTTGATATGGCCAATATAAATGTCAGTATACGAACAAACCTGATTATTAAAATTTTATGTCGCAAATATTTTGTTAAAGCACTGATGGTCAATCCTACAATTTCGCATTTAGATATCATAGTATGTTGTAGAAAATAATGTGATATATGAACTGTCTCCAAATTGCCCAACCTAAAAAGGAACCAAATTCAGACTCTTGTGACCCATGTCAGTAGAAATATTTTTAGAACCATGATCAGAAAACTTAAGTGCTCACCTTCGAAGTGGACCAGAATACTTAAGGATATTTTGGATCTTATAGGGATAGTTTGGATGTTTGGAAGAGAGGGTTATTTGAGCTATTTCTCCAAATATCCAATCCAATAATCGCATGTCCATATGTGCATTGGAAGTGTTGGGGAATAATTCTCATAGATATCCACCTTTTGCCCGTTTATGACCAACCCTGACGTCTGTTACCTCCCTTAAGGAAGGGGCTGCTTCAGCCATACAGGACTGTCTCAGAAAATTAGAATATTGTGATAAAGTTCTTTATTTTCTGTAATGCAATTAAAAAAACAAAAATGTCATACATTCTGGATTCATTACAAATCAACTGAAATATTGCAAGCCTTTTATTATTTTAATATTGCTGATTATGGCATACAGCTTAAGAAAACTCAAAAATCCTATCTCAAAAAATTAGAATAGTTCCTCAGACCAAGTAAAAAAAAAAGATTTATAACAGCAAAACACAATCAAACATTTGAAAATGTCCATTAATGCACTCAGTACTTGGTTGGGAATCCTTTTGCACGGATTACTGCATCAATGCGGCGTGGCATGGAGGCAATCAGCCTGTGGCATTGCTGAGGTGTTATGGATGCCCAGGATGCTTCAATAGCGGCCTTTAGCTCATTAGCATTGTTGGGTCTGGTGTCTTTCAGCTTCTTCTTCACAATACCCCACATATTCTNGTGTGCCTTGGCAGTCTCAGGGTCCAAAACATACGGCCTCAGGTCCGATGATACGATAACGAAATCGATCATGGACCTTCTGCCTAGGGTGCTCTGGCACCACGTACACTTATGAGCATCCTTATGTTCGAACATGGTGTTTTTTTATGGCCAATCCATGACTAGCACAGAAGTCCAGTAACAAACCACCACTCCGGTTCATATCAGGGGGGCCGTTCCTCCCAATCACTCCCCTCCAAGTGTCTCCATCATTGCCCACATGTGCGTTGAAGTCTCCCAGCAAGATTAAAGACAAAATATGCAACAAAAAAAAAAGTTTTAAAAAAAAAGTCTAAAGATGATATTTGGCCTCAAATCATCTGAGGCCTGGCGCCCCCCCTGTGATCTTTGTACTTTGCTGTACAGTATGTGTGAACTAGAAAATTCAGAGAAATGTTGACTGTGTGACTGAAACTTGGGTGTGCGTCCCGATGCCCTGCTGAGTTTGTATTAATAGCATTAGTTGTATTGTTAAGGTACAACAAAGAATATCCATTAATTTTAGCTCACTTTTAGCTGACTATTTTAACTGTTTATCTATTACATTTTTGGATTCTTGTACCCGATTCCTGCATCGTTTCTGAACATCTTTTGATCACCACTTGATCAATCCGACAGGCGTGTTCAAAGATTAAAGCGTTTCCACGGCAATGCCCTGCCAGTGAACGAGAGACAGCCTGTCAGAGGATAATATTGTGCTGCATTATTGCTTCGAAATAAAAAACTGTAAATCCAATCAGCTAAATATCCTACCCAGAGTATTTAGGATACCAGATGAACACGTCTGATGACTCTCCTGTTTACTTAATTCACCGAGGGATAAAGCATTATGCACTATTCTGACTCCAATAATAACATGTATCTAAATCTTCTAGGCCACATCTGACAACACGGTTTTACCAAATGGAATCGTCCAAGGACATGCCTACACTGTCACAGGTGTGAAACAGGTGAAGTTTTTTTTTATTATATTATCATTATATCCAGTATATATAATTTAGGTCCTGCAAATGTCTTTTGTTGATATTCAGACTTTTGAGATAATAAAAGCTTAAAGGTGCAATACACAACATTCAGAGCATATCTATTATTCTCAGCTGGGATTGCTTCCTCACGGCTCTCACAGTGCTACAATAGAGCTGCCAACGATGCTAACAGTGCTAACAAAGTACGCGTCCAATGTTAAAGCGGCCTTATTCTGCTTATTGGGGTTTTCCCTTCCCTGTAGTGTTATATAGGTTTTTGTGCACGTAAATGGTCTGCAAAGGTTAAAATCCCTGTGTTTCTCTCCCACACCTTCAGCCACCCCCCCCCCTATATGCACATTACCATTTATAGCACCTTTAGGTTGGCCTCTACTGTATACTCGTAGTAAAGACTTTACTAATTACAATTTAAGTGTAATTATTTTCATTTCAAATAACTGTGTGTTTCCTCTGGTCATGTTGAGCAGATGACGAGCCAAGGGCAACTGGTACACCTGGTGCGTTTGTGGAACCCCTGGGGCGAACGAGAGTGGATCGGAGACTGGAGTGACAAGTAAAAATGACACAGTGACTGTTTCACAGAGACATTGCTTTGATCTGTTGCCTTGGGAAATAAACTGAGATTCCTTTTCAATGACAAAATAGTATTGCATACATGTTTATTGTAGCACAAAGGCAAATTACTACATTAGCTATGTTCATCATGTTTTAACACGCCTGTGGAAATTCTGATTAGAGCAATGGGATCCTTTCTGAAGCCTTTCATTGCAAACTCGCACAACCATTTTATAACAACCTTTAATAAACTGGTTGTACCATTTTACAGCAGACCATTGTGAGGGATGCCAAGTTTTGACAGGTCTTATACGTTCATATCTCTAAGGCTTTATCAGTTGTAATGAAAAAAAAATGACACTTGAAAGTTAGACACACTGTCACGATCTGTCTGTATTGTATTTTGTCTTGTCTTTTGTTTCATGTTTTATTTTGAAAGGTCTTCACCTCCTGTCTTGCCTGTTTCTGTCTGCGTTGTGTCTTGTCCAGATCAGTCTTTGGTTTTCTGTCTGCGTTGTGTCTTGTCTAGATCTGTCTCTGGTTTTCTGTCTGCGTTTTATTTTGTCTTGTTTAAATCTGTCTGTGGTTCCCTGTCGTTAGTTTCCCTGGTGTGTCTAATTTACCCGATTGTGTTCACCTGGTGTCCCTGTGTTTTCTCCTCCCTCCTCAGCTGTGTCTTGTTTGTATGATTAGTCTTGTGTGTATTTAAGTTCTGTTTTTTCTGTCTGTCTTTGTCGGTTCGTCTTTTGCCTTGACTAGTTCTTCTGTGAGNCAATATCACAAATGTTACATTTGTCTCAGGGGACAGTTTGTAAAGGTTATCAAACTATCAAAACAAATGCATTTGTAGTCCTGAGTCAGGGACCAGCATTACCTCGGCTCTAGCCCAACTCATGGGTGTGGGGTTGAAGTAGAAACAGCGTCCGTTGATCCAGGTCCATCCAGCGGGGCAGTAGAAAGAGCGCTTCACCAAATGACTCTTAACTGAGAACAAAAGTTAGAGTCTATTAAAACCCTCCTGTTATCCTCAGATTTAGCTAACCCCAGTAGTTTAAAACTCAAGACAATGATCATATTCCACATTTTAACCAACATGTATGTCTCTGGTGCTTTAGGTGTCTTTGTTAACTACCTAAATAACCATTTAAATAAAACATTACCCCAACTTTCCCCCCTACAGACCCCTTTATACATCCAGAATTCCTATTATGTGACTATCCAAAAATATATAAATCACCATCAAATCTCACTGACTGAAATAAAATGTTAAAGTAAGAACTTTTTGCTGTTGTTAAAGGATCAATAACTAAAGCAGAGGGTAGTTTTGTTTTACAATGATACAAATTGACCCCAAGGATAACAGGAGGCTTAATGTAAAACTTGTATTAGACTCTCGTTTTATCTGATGGCATATAGACATAAACCCTTTGTTGTAATGGATTACACGGCTTGGTTAAATACTAGATTCTGATTGGTCAATTTGGACATTTCAGAGGTTGTTAATACTCATTAACACAGTGCTGCTATGCAAAATGATGACCGTTGCTAAGGAGGATCAATGACCGTTTCGCTGTACATTATCCCTTACTTATTACATGGCTTAGTTGAATACTGAATTCTGATTGGTCAGTTTGGACATTCTGTGGTCTGTTATTTCTATATAGCGGACCGTTGCTAAGGTATAAAAGACTGTTACTAAGGTATAGAAGACTTTTCAGGGGTAGTCCGGGCCAGTGGAATTGTATTATCACTGGCCCCACCATTGTAACCACTAGCCCGGAGCATTCGTCCAAAAAAATCAACTAATAATGAAGAAAATGAACACATTTGTTGCAATAGTAATTTATGCACTAACTACATTACTACTTGTACTACAACATTTGAATCATCAGTTCTTCCTCATTTCCCTCAATTGTTCATATTTGGNAGCGAGGAAATGAAAATCTGTGGTTCCCTGTCGTTAGTTTCCCTGGTGTGTCTAATTTACCCGATTGTGTTCACCTGGTGTCCCTGTGTTTTCTCCTCCCTCCTCAGCTGTGTCTTGTTTGTATGATTAGTCTTGTGTGTATTTAAGTTCTGATTTTTCTGTCTGTCTTTGTCGGTTTGTCTTGTGATATGGCTTGTTCCTCGGTGAGTGTTCTGTTCAGTCTTTGTTTAGAGTTTAGCCTTGAAATAAAGGAGTTATTTTGTCACTTTAATCTGCATTTGGGTCCTGCTTCCTTCACACACCGTAACACACACACTCATTGCAAAGTCTTAGTAGTTATTTTAACTGCAAAATTGTTGAGTTTAAGCCCAAGCGGAAATACTGTATATTTCTTCCTCAAAAGCTCCCATACTGTCAGTATTTGCAACTGTTCAAAAAATCCCGGCCACCCCCACGAGGCGCACATTTTGGAGC